GCAGAAGATAAACCAAGAGACAAAATAGATACAAGCAAACACTATGCTTTATTAGAAATCATCTTTAAACAATCTATTACAAGATCTGCTTATCAGCTTTACACAGCCTGTTAACACCCTAACAGCTGCTACTGAAAGATTCCTAATCTACCCAAANAGCAACTACTTCAACGACTACGTCAAGACATAAACCTCCAGTTTATTCTTCTCCATCTCAGCATATCCTGCATCCACATGGTAACCCACCACTCCGCATGCCTTATGTAGTAACGACTAATGCCTCCAGCATCAGTGACTTCGTCGCCTTGTTAGTCACGGAAGACCATTGACATCTACAAGCTCCACTTGCATCTTCATAATCTTCCATGATGATATAAAGGCTTATTAAGGAAACACTAACCTATCAGACGGAAGATTCCTATCAATGACATTCGTGGGAACGATGAGAGAACCAAGGACCTGTGTCATAGAAGTGCAGAATCAACAAACTCTGCAAAAGAGAAATAACCAAATCAAATCATGTCCATTGGCATTACATTTCGGTGATACAGCAGCCAGAAACTAAAAGTATCATTACTCTAACTGTTGGAGGCGGGTTTCACTCCACTCACTCAATACCCAGTCCGAGAACAAGAAAAGAATATGGCTGCCATATTACTTTCTTGTCTTCACCCCACTCAATACCCACTTATATCAATTCAAATACATATAATATATGTATGCATTAGTTATATTTATATTTTATATTAAATATAATCTTAAATATAAAACTAAATTGAATTAAAATTCGTTCATCAATTAATTTCAAATAATTTTGATGTATACCACTCTTATCAACTATTAAAGTTCGTTTTATTGCAAGACGGTTTCACCAAAACAAAATGTATGCAATTACATGAGTGAGGTAAATGTTAATGGTTATCATGTGAAATGCGATTGGTTTACTTGACTAAGTTATCAAAACGATTTTGAGTTTATAGACATATGTTTGATAAAACATAAGATGTTATTTGGACAAGCAAAAATTATATTTTCTATAATTATCAAAGTATTAGTTACCTAAATAGCTAAACATTCGGACAATGAGCCAAAACTCACTCGGATTTTAGTGAAAATTGACTTTTAGATTATTACAATAACTTGAAGATTTTTTTTGAATATAATGAGTTTCTTCATCGTTGAGATTTCTCAAACTCATGAACATCATATTAACATTTATTATTCTTATATTCCAACAATGTTAACTCTTCACAATTCATTTTCATTGCAATATGTTCTTAAGAAAAACAAATTGAATCGTTGAACTTCCTTCACAGTATCTAAACCCAAAAAGAGGATAAGAACAATGGAAAAGGTAGGCTAAGCTGGATTGTGAATCCTGGCAAGACTGATCATTCTCCTATGTTTAATCCATATTTGGAAGATCTGAAAAAAGAAGAAAACTTTTTGAAACATGGCCTTCATGTATTTATGTTTTAGAAGTAAATATTACTACCTTAGGTTCTACTTCTTAGGTATTGGATACCGACTATGGTCTTCATATCTATACAAATATGAAAAGTCTAAGAAACAATAGAATTTTGGAGAAAGGATAAGTTTACCTACACGTGGGAAATAGAGCAAAAGACGTTGTTGGATTAGCCGTGGAGACATTTAATTTCTCTTTAACTTCATGCTTGGTTTTAGAACTTAAGAACTACTACAATGTACTTGGTATAAGTAGCAATATTATTTCTATTCGTTGTTTGATTAGGAAGGATTTCATTTTTTGATTAACAAGTGTTGTTCTTTTGATCGTAATGATATCTTTTATGGTAGCAGTTCATTCGAGAAAGAAATTTATATTCTAGATCAAAGTGTGCATGTCTATAATATTATACCAAAATATTCAAGTCTAATGACACGGAACAAACTTTTGTTTGGCAGTTTGGCCCATATAAATGAGAAGCGCATTTAAAAGATTCATAGTAATGGATTTTTGAATTGTTTTATTATGAATCATATGAAAAATGTGAATATTTTTTTTGCTGGATAATATGACTAAAGTGCTTTTACTGGAAACAATGAAAGAGATAAAGACTTGTTAGAACTTATACATACTGATGTATTTAGACCAATGAACATAAATGTTAGAGGAAGCTAAACATTACTTCATCACATTTACTGATGACTTTAGTAGGTATATGTTTATGTTTATCTAAGGAAATATAGGTCTGACTATTTTGAAAAATTCAAAGAATTGCATAATGAAGTGCAAAATCAGTTCAAGAAAATTAAAGCTCTCCGATCCAATCATGGTGGAGAATATTTGAGTCAGGAGTTTAATGATCATCTAAGGGATGTAAAATGTTTGACAACTCACTCCTTCGGGAACACCACAGTTAAATGTGTATCTAGAAGGAGAACCTGAACTTTATTAGATATACTTCGGTCAATGATTAGTTATTGAGATCTTCTATTTGGAGATACACTCTCGAAACAGATGTGCATGAAAATCAGCTGGGAAGACACCATATGAAATGTGTACTAGAAGGGTTCCAAATTTATCTTTTTGAAAATTTGGGGTTTTGATGCTTATGTCAAACGTTTGTTCAGTGATAAGCTTGAATCCAAATTTGATAAATCCTATTTCATTGGTTTTCCTAAAGTAAACCAAAAGTTATTACTTTTACAACCCCACTAAGAACAAAGTGTTTGTTGTTCGCATTGGTGCTTTTCTTGAGAGATAATTTCTTTCGAAAAAAAAGTGTGGGAGTAAAATACAACTCGAAGAATTTCAAGAAACACAAGATATTTTTTAATCCTTCCAAGAAGATGATCAATTAGATTTACAAAAATTCGTAGAATCTACACCTGTGGAACCTGAGGTACATATGTCTGAAATAACATGTCATAAACCTGACAAATATGGGGTTTGGGTGACATATCATCATGATCTATTGATAATAGAGAGTGGTCAACCTACATCCTTTGAAAGGGCTATGATGGGCTTTGACTCCTATAAATGGCTGGAAGCCCTAAAATCCTTAATGGTCTCCATCTCAATAAACAAAGTGTGGACTTCAGTTAGTTTATCTGATGGTGCTAAAACCACTGAGTGTAAATGATTTTTCAAAAAGAAAACTGACATGGATGGTAATATACAGATATAGAAAGGTAGACTGGTGGCTAAAGGTTACAAATCGATTCATAGTATTGACTAGGATGTAACATATTCACCACTCATAATGCTTAAATCTATTTGGATTTTCCTAGCAACTTCTACTTATTATGACTATGAGATTTGATAGATGGATGTAAAAACATCTTTCCTTAATGTAAATATCGAAGAGGATGTGTACATGACACAATCTGAAGGTTTCATATTCCTTGGAAGTGCTGGGAAAGTATGTTAGCTTCAGCGTTCCATTTATGTTTTGAAGCAAGCATCGCAGAGCTGGAATCTTCGTTTTAAAGAGGTAATCAAATAGTTTGATTTCATTAGACATGAAGAAGAAATTTGCGTTTACAAAAAAAATTAGTGGAAGCACTGTTGTTTTCTTAGTGTTGTATGTTGATGGCATACTTAGTGTTGTATGTTGTTTTTTTAGTGTTGTATGTTGTATGTTGTTTTCTCATTGAAAATGATATTCCTATGCTTAATTATATAAGGACTTTACTTGGAAGTTATATCTCAATGAATGATATAAGAGAAACTGTCTATATTCTTGAAATAAGATTCTATAAAAATATATCAAATAAAATTGATGGATTATGTAAAGATACTTGTATTGATAATGTCTTCCATAAATTCAAAATCCATGATTCCAAGAAATGCTTCCTACCAATGTCTGATTGCATAACTCTCAACAAGACTTAATGTCCTTTTACCCATGATGAACGAGAGTGCACAAGTAGATACTCATATGCTTCTGCTATAGCATCTATCTTGTTTGTCATTATTTGTACTCGTACAGATGTTGCATGTTCTTAGAGCATGACGGGTTGATACCAATATGATCCAGGTGAAAGTCACTGGACAGAAATCAAAGACTATCCTAAAGTATTTGAGAAATACTAAGGATAATTTCTTGGTCTTTGGATATAGTGATGAGCTTGTTGTAAGTGGTTACACTGACACCAGCTTTCAGACGACAAAGCTGATTTCAGATCATAATCTGGTTTCATCTTTTATCTTAATGGAAGAGCGGTGAGTTAGAAGTATTCCAAACAAAGCACCTTAGCAGAGTCACCAACCAAATCTGAATACATCGCTGCTTTGAAGCAGTAAAATAAGATGTTTGGATTATGAAGTTCATTGGTGACCGAGGTGTTGTTCTTAGTATTTTTACATAGTGAATTTTATTGTGACAACAATGAAACCATCACACAAGCAAAGGAACCTAGATCCCACCAGAAGTCCAAACACATTCAAAGGAGATATCATGTCATTTGTGATAGAGGAGATGTAAAGATTAGTAGATTTTCAACGGATGAAAATATTGTTGATCTATTGAACAAGCCTCTTCTATGACCTTAGCATGAGAGTTATATTACGTACTGCTATAGGCATTAAATTTCTTAAGATGATCTTGTATCTAGTGTGAGATTTTTATTTTATGATATAATATTTATGTTTACATACATTTGGTTGTTTTCAAATTAAGAAAAGTTGTTTTAGATTTATTTGATTATTGAATGATCAAATAATAGTCGCAAAGTAGTTAATATCATTTTTACAGGTCATCAAATATGTGACTTGATCATGAAACCCTATAAACGAAAGATGACATAAGTTATTAAAATTCATAGTCAAGGTTGTCAACTTGAAACATTACTTACCGAAAATGAATAGTATGTGAAGTGATTAATAACTAAGTCTCATGAAATCATTTAATATGCTATATTAGTGTCATAAGAGTTTTTCGCTATGACTATTTCATAATTTTTTATTTTTGGATTAGTTCACTTTAACCTTGTCGTAAGGTGTCTGAGAAGTTTGTATGAAATAAGATGGGATTTGTCTCTCCCACATAACAGGAGATACATACATCTTATATTATTGTACTTCAGAAGCAGAATGGGTATGACACTTATAGTTATGACTTTATTTGCATATATACAATATGAAATAACATCTTATTCTTATTCGTTGCAGAATGACAAAAATATGTAAGAAAAATAAAGATGATAAACATATATAAAACGAACTTTACAAATTATCATGCTCAATTACCATTGCTCCTCTCCAGGTTTCACCGGCACCAACATCAATGGGAACGAGCATGGATGCAGGACCTGTGCACGCAAAATAATTTTGCTTCCCAAACTTGTCCCACATTGATCCTGGGGATCCAACGTACATGTCCTCGAACCCCATCCTTATCATCCTGAAGAACAATCCTCGTCCCTACAAATTTTAAATTTTAAACTTCAAACATCAGATTCTAATAAATTAGTAGTTATGTTATAAATACTCACTTAGACAATAAACAATGATCCACGATCATATATTAGAGACGAATCAACCTATGTAATGAATATATTTAATTATGTTCTCGTTGTCAATTGCTATTTTTAAGCTGTAATGCATATTTTTTCATCACAACTACATACATTTTGCATCCAAAATATCTAATTTTCTTAGATGATTGCTTCTGCATCCAAATGCAGCATTAAACGTGAGGCCAAATTGACCATACAACATGATCCATAAATGCATAAACCAAATATTACCATAATATCAGAACAGAGAGTAACCTGAAAAATATAATGCAGTTAAAATTACCTGATCAATGGTTTCATATTTAGAAGGTGGAGTGTTATAGACAGCCTTTAGTCTCTCAGCCGGAGGGGCACCATAAACTCTACTCATCTTCTTCTCTAGAAGTGTAATCACAGAGTCTTCAACTGTCCAAATCCCCGGTTTTTCCCCATCTTCTGACCCAAACCACCCGGAAGAGTCCGCCTTCATTGCCTCGGAAGGAGACAGTAGCTCGAAAGGCGACGATAAAGGAGGACTAGGGCAATAGGAGCAGCCCTTAAGCCCTTGAATTCCAGCACCACTCCGTTTCTTGAAACTCAAGGAACTTATAATCCCCGATTTAAGGATAACAGGTTTCCGACCGTTGTTCTTCACCACCACAGCTGTCGCTATGCTTACTGGATAGAGCGAGACGATATAGGTTATGTCTAGAAATCCGGCCGTACAGGTCAATTCAATCTGAGAAACGTAAGCCACAAGATTTCATCATTAGTGTCAACAAAATATATTTGATGAATAAAAAAAAAACTGGGTGCATTTAGGTAAGTATCATATCTCACCTGAAGAGCATCAATAGCGTCTGAATCAGTGTCCTTAACAGTCCAATTACAACCTGATAGTACTGAAGAAGCGTCTTCTTCGTTTATGATAACAAGACCAACCCCACCTCTGGTTTTATTACCGTCCTCTACTGTGTAGAGGAGTTCCTCGAATCCGTCGTCTTTCCAGTACACTTTTGGTTTATATGAAACCACATGAGCGTCTGATAGATTCAGCTTTAAAGAGCTTCCGTTTCTGACTTTAAGCTCGACCATGTTTGTTTCCGAGAATTTTATGCCTTTCCGTCCAAATTTTTCTTCAAGCCCTTCAGTTATTGTCTGTGTCTGAGGAGCTGAAATCGAAGTCTTTACAGCTTTTGGTTTAAAGGAAGAAGAAAAAGAGACTTTTGGTTGAAGGAGAGAAGAAAAAGAAATAAGAGATGCCATTGTTTGAGAGAGTAAGGAAGGAGAAGAAAAAAAGATAAGACCAGTGAGGTTGGTGTAGTAACGCTAAAGCCTAATCCTTTTCTTTTTGTTTTGTCGTTTATTAGCATATTTTCTTTATCATGTGGTTGTCAATACGCTAAATCATTTCTTGTTTTCCTCAACCGGAACAATGGGATCATCTTCGCTACTATCATCACCGTCATCTTCTACATCATCGGCTTCTTTCGTCTATTTCAAAGTGTAAATTTGTGCTCTTAACCAGTAAATTTCTGTTTTTTTTTTTTTGAAAACTATGATTTCGAGTTTAGAAAAATATAAGACGGAAATAATTATGATTATTAATGAGAAATTTACTATGATAATCTCTTTTATTTTCATAAAAAACCTTCAAAATAAAAAAAAATAACCAAAAAGAAATTTTATCGAAGAGCAAATATACTTTTATATTCTTAGGTTAACTTTTTTTTTTGAGACTATATTCTTAGGTTAACTAACCCTGTATTTTTTGGTTGATAGTTAAAGGGTGGGGTTTTGGAAGTTTAAAGTTTAAAATATTCGAAAAAAATATTGATAATTTTAAAATTAAATTTGAAAAATAGTTTCAAAAAGAATTTTCGAATTTCAAAAAAAAAATTAAAAACAAAGAATGTAAACCTAAAAACATATAATCCGAAAATATAGAAAAATAATATATTTTTATATATTTTTAATTTATAATATAAGAGGTACAAAAGTCTTTTGCCTCTTTAATGAAACTTATTTTGATAATTTTCTTTTTTGAATACTTTTCTTGAAAAATCTTTTTTAAAAATACTATTTAAGAGAATTGTACTAAATAGATAAAACTCTCTAGGATAATTTGTGGTAATAATTCATATATAAATACATATATGCAGAGCTATTCGAGTAAATGTTGTTTTTTTTAGCTGTCCTTGTGCTTGTTGCTCTATAACCCAACACTAGAAATGTTTGGAACAAAACTTAGTAGCAGTTGAAGAAAATGTGGAGGTCAAAGAGAATGCAGGATTTGGTTCTTTTCACAGTAGGCTGATAATAGAATCATGCATGGTCATTTAGAGCATTTCCAAGAAGAAACCTTATTTAGAGGGTGAAAATTTTTCAAAATGAAAGTTTGAGGATGGGTTACTCCATGAAGAAACCTCAAGTTCAATTTGCATTTCAGTCATGAGCTTTAATATAAATTTATCATAATAATTAAAATTTATACAGATTAAAAAGACGTACACATTAAATATATTAAACATAATATTTATCAATACAATTTATTATAAACACACAAATACATAAAATAATAATATAAAAACACATCGACTCATACAAAATATAAAATAATATTATTATTTCCCTAGTGTTCTCATATATAATCTATCAATGCATTTTGAAAAAAGAAATGAATCTCTTAATTTTTTATCTGAAGATTACGAGTTAAAAACTCTTGAAAGTGAGAATTTTCATATAACTTCATTTCAATGGTTGCTTGTTATGATGCTTGTGCATCTTTAACTTGTGACAAGATAATACATGCATTATAATGCATATTGTCACTATATTATGCGATACAGTACTTCTTTTTCTAGTAATGTGATGATCTTTTTCACAAAATATGTGTTCTTGTACTTTTAATCTTTAATTTTTGGGTTTTTAGTGATTTAAACCCCCAACTATTTTTAAATCGGATGGAAAACCTTGAACTATAATTTATGTTTTTAAACCTCCAACTATTAAACCGTTAGTGGTGTTAACCTTCTGTTAACAAAGTCGGTTTTAAACAGAGATCCGTTAAATTGAAACGTAGTGTTTTCAATAATTACAGAAACGATATGAAATGCTTACAGTCAACATATATTTTAGTGATTTAAACCCTCAATTATTTTTAAATAGGATAAAAAACCTCCTACTAAAAATTTATGTTTTTATACCCTCAACTATTTAACTTTAATGCTTTTAACACTCTGTAAATAAAATCCATTAAATTGGTACGCACCGACAAACACGATTCATCCCCAATAAAAACAAAATTATGGTCTTTAATCATTTTCAAAAACTATCGAAGGGGAATATTATTTATCAATAAATAAGTATAATTTAATGTTATAGATTATCTACTTTAACAACAATGTTTGTGTGGTTAGTAATATTAGTACTATAGAATTTTATAAATTTGTATTTTGTAAAACATTCATTTAAAATATTATTATATGAAATACTAGTTTACATAATATGATGTTTTTAGTGTGAAATATATATATATATGAAAACTAAATTTAATGTTTATCAATAAATAAGTATAATTTAATGTTATAGATTATCTACTTCTATAATACTGTTTGTGTGGTTAGTAATATTAGTACTATAGAATTTTATAAATTTGTGTTTTGTAAAACATTCATTTAAAACATTATTATATAAAATACTATTTTACATAATATCATGTTTTTAGTGTGAAATATATATATATATATATATATATATATATATATATTTCACACTAAAAACATCATATTATGTAAACATCATATCATGTAGGTCCAATTTAATTTAATTTTCATATATATATGAAAATTAAATTAAATTGGACCTACATGATAAAGATAGTTTTTTTGAGATAGTGTTAGAAACATCAAAATTTAGTTTTTGGGATATTGGTTTTTGAATTGTTTTAGAATTAAATATTTCTTACTAAAAAATCTTGTGGATTTTTTTTTATTATTCTCATTTTTTAAAAAATTAATCGATGTAAATTTTTAATATAATCAAATATAATTTTCACTTTTGGATTAATGAATCATAGTATTGTTCTCCGACTCCTCACCGCAATTTGCATATTCTCTATCATCACCACTTCAATCTTTAGCCATAGATTGCGTGTCTCTCTCCATCTCAGACATGGGCAGTCCCAGGATTGAATATTAGTGTGGTCAGAAAAATAAAATGTCACTGATGGGAGTCGAATCCGGATTTTTGGGGGTTCATGAGCTGTATTTTACCAACTCTGCTGCCTATTTTTTGTTGTTTTCTTATACAAAACTAACATTTATCTATTTTTTGTGGTGTCAAATGACCCCATACCTCTGCAAGTGGGTCCGCCTCTGTTCTCAGACCGTGTCTGGCCGGCTCACGCCACCGTCCCACACCATCTCTCACTTTCTCCATGTTTTCCATGGCTCAGACATCAATTTTTGGTCTGGTTATCTTCAAATCGTCCAAGTTAAAAGTATTGTTTTTAAGGTGATGACTTTATTTACAAAGGATTAAAAGCATTAAAGTTAAATAGTTGAGGGTTTAAAAACATAAATTTTTAGTTGAAGGTTTTCTATCCTATTTAAAAATAATTGGAGGTTTAAATCATTAAAATATTTGTTGATTGTAAGCATTTCGTATCATTTTTGTGATTATATGAAACACTGCGTTTCAATTTAACGGATCTCTGTTCAGAACAAACGACTTTGTTAACAGAAGGTTAACAGCACTAACGGTTTAATAGTTGGAGGTTTAAAAACATAAAATTATAGTTCGAGGTTTTCCATCCGATTTAAAAATAATTGGGGGTTTAAATCACTAATAACCCTTAATTTTTTATATGTTATTCAATGTAATATAATTGTTTGAAATAATTATTTTGTGTGAAATAAGACCATTTTATATTAGTTTTATTTCTATTTTAATATTATGTATTTTATGTATAATAAGATATATAATATATATTTGAAACTTAAGAGAAATATAGTTTTTTTACATCAAAAGACTGTTCATTCAAATTAGATGTGGTCTAGGGATCCAGACCAGAATAGAACAACCAAAAAAATAAGACTCTTATGGAAACGTCGAGCTGTGTTGGCGAGCGCGTCTGCTACCTTGTTTTGGTTCCAGGGAACTTGACTCATCTTGAAATCTTGGAACCGACCTTGCATAGCTGCAAACTCTAAGAGAAATATAGTTATAAGGATTAAAGTAATAAATAAATAATATTCGTATAATTATCTGTACGTTACAAAATTATAAGAACTAAACGTAAAAATAAATAATGTTTTCAGGTTTTGAATAGTGAAATCCCAATCTTCAAAATTTGAAGGTTTAAAGACCTTTTAGAGAGCCAAACAGCTCAATATTTGTAGATTTGAGAGCCTTTTGAAAATGCTTTAGCACTGGTTTCAGAAAACAAGCTTCTGGCTTTCCTAGTTTTTTTTTTCATAAGAAGCTTTCCTAATTTATATATCCAGACTTGTATAAATATTTCTGAAGACAAATCCTAGAAAGTTGTTTTCTATTCAGCTTGAATCCAATATTTTTTTTTTTGCATTTAAATAAAGCAAAATAAAAGGATAAATAAGAGGGTGAAGATTATCTAAAACTTAATTTTAAATGGTATACCCTAAATTCAATTAAATGCCAAAGTAACCAAAATGTAGTGAAATTACATCCATCTTCTCATGACAAAAAAATATATGTAATCAATTTGCGATTATAATCTTGTGAGTCTTCTTAGGGAAAATTGCCAAATATGACTCAAAATTTGATTTGAAATACAAAAGTAAACCCAAACATGAATCAAATGGAAAAGTAACTTAAAAGGATGTTGAAATTACAACCAACCCCTTGTGAACAAACAAAAAAAAAGTCTTTTTTTTTACGTTTCTTGCCCTCGCAAGTCGTCTGGGACAGTTTTTCTTAAAAATAATTTAAAAATTGTGTAATAAATATCTTGATAAATGAAAAATTGGGATTCTGTAATTAACATATGTCTTAAGCGATATAAATTAAGATATAAAAAAAGTCAGTTGTTTTCAGCATAGATGAGTGAAAGTAGTGAGTGATGATATTCTTTAGTTTAGGTTTCACCAACATATGTTGTAGTATTGTATGTGTTTCTTAGGGTTAGAAATTCGAAAGCATAAATGTTTTTTTGAAAACTTTAAAATTTACCTAAGTGTGTTTATTTCTGTGTATAGTAAACAATATTTAAGTATAATTTGATTTTATAACATGGTTAGTAGTTAATTTAGTCAATTTAGTT